CTCAGCAGATTCCATCATGGGGGTGATCACAACATTATACAACTGCTAAAACACTGAGAATAATGGTCTAGCCAAGCTGACATACAATCTTAACCATCACAGAAGGGAAAACAGTAACAAATGATAAAATGTTATAAAGTAACATTTATAAATATAAATTTATCCTGATAAATTTATTTATTAAAAATACATCTCAGACTATTCAATCTACTGCAGAATCCAAAAATTCAGAATAAATGTTAATCTTTAATCTAATGACATTTATTAAACAGGAATATGAATTCTAAGGAAACAAGAGGATAATTTTATCAGCGGGGTGACTAAAGTTTTCAAGGAAACAAAATAATGCCAGAGTATAATTAAAATTTACATTGAACAAGGTTAATAGAAGACAATGTCCAAAAAATCAAATCTGTGATGAAGTTACATTTGAGAGAGACACCCTAAGATGCCAGCATAGTCAGACACACCATGTCATCCCCCTACAACAAGGACCTGAGATGCCAAGTGAAACAGATACAGATAACAATCTTGGAACCCTGAGCATCAAATGGAAGGGTGAAGAATTAGATTGAACACCAAATGGAAAGAGAACCTGAGTGAGATTTATGAATCATAGGCACCCTGCCAGTCAGCCCTGTGCAGCGTGGCCATCTTGAGAGAAAGCAAGCAGCATTCCCAAGTGAGGAGCAAGGAAGGCAACTTCAACTAATTCCCAACAGGAGACAGAGATTATGAGTAGACAAACTCAGAGTGAAGCAAGGCACCATCTGCACCTGTGCCCAGTGATGAGCAGGAGATCCTAGTGCTCTCATGTAATGGCTGCCTGGCTGCAATGTCACATATCTCAAACCCAGACAGTTCCTGTAGGCTGACTGCACATGTACTGAAAGCTCTTGATTCCCCACCACCTACTCAGATGCCAATCTGTGCAGGCAAAGAAGGCCTATCCCATCAATTTGAGTAGTACTGCCTCACAGTGGCTATGGAAATGTCCTGTCCTGACCTCCAGAGGATACAGTAACTGCTAACACCAACCGGGAAGGACCCCATGGTTCCACAATGTCTGGAGGGATGCTGACCACTGAACACTTGTCACCCAACATCAGGGAAAGAATTCACTCTTCCACCTTCACTCAGTCCTGTAAAGGAAGACATACAAGCTTAACCACAGAGAACTCACACATGGGTGTGACCCACCATACCCACTAGTGATAGGAAATCATGCTCAGTCAACTGACACCACCAAAGTCATGCATAGACCAGTACTACAAAACAACAACAATTAAAATAATACAAAGAAAGACATTCTGAAGACAAAGAGAGAAAACAAAGCGCCTGATATATGAAAACAAAACAAAACAAAATCAGGACAAAACAAACACACAATCAATAAAGAAATATATAAATAAATAAATTAACACCTTAACGTTTCAGAGGCAGCAGACAATAACAAACCATATGAAGAAACAGGATTACATGGCTCAAACAAGTGAGCAAAATAAAGGGACAGAAAACCTTCCTGAGGAAGAAATCATAATAGAACAACCTGACAAGGAACTGAAAATACTCATATTTAGGCTCCTCAAAAAGATCAAGGAAAATAAAAAAAAAAGTAAAAGTAAAAGAATTTAGGAAAACAATACAAGAACAAAATGACAAACTAAATAGACAAATAGAAACCATACAAAACCAACAACTAGAAATTCAGAAAATTAACAATAAAATTTCAGAAATAAATAACTCAATGGAAGGTCACAGAAGTAGAACTGAATTAATGGAAGAAAGAATCAGCGGAGTAGAGAACAAATCCTTTGATACTAATTTGTTTGATGAAAAATCAGAAAAAAGAATGAAGAAAGCCTAAGAGTTATGTGGGACACTATCAAGAAGAATAATTTATGCTTAATAGGAATTCCAGAAGAGTAGGAGAAAAAAAAGTAAGAGAGAATTTTTGAAAATATATTGACAGAAAACTTCCCAAATATCATGAAAGACAAGAAGGTTTGTATCCAAGAAGCTCAATGAACCCCATACAGGAGACACCCCAAAAGAAATTCACCAAGACGTATCATAATCAAACTTTCCAAAACCAAAGACAAATAATTCTGAGAGTAGCTAGTTAAAAATGAAATATGACTTACAAAAGGGCATCAATAACACTAAGCACTTATTTCTCATCAGAAACCATGCAAGCAAGAAGGCAGTGGGATGACATATATAAAATCCTGGAAAAAAAAAGAATTGCCAACCAAATATCATATATCCAGCAAAACTGTCTTTCAAAAATGATGGCGAAACTAGGACATCCTCAGATAAGCAGAAATTAAGAGAATTGGTAAAACCCAGGACAGTGTTACAAGAAATAATAAAGGAAGTCCTCTGGACAGAGAACCAATGATATCAGACAAAAACCTGAAATAAAGACATGTGACAGTATAACCCAGATACCAACCCAAATAAAGACTTCACTAAAGTAAAATAAAACTGCAAAACTGATTACAGGGAACAAGAAATGTTAAGCTATAAACAATGACAAAGTCAAAACAAAAGGAAGGAATAAACGGTGTAGTTATACAACTTCCATATGGAGAGGAAGTCAAGGCAATCTCAAAATATAACAGACTGTTTTAAATTTAGGAGGGCAAAGGTAAACTTCAAGGTAGCCACAAAGAAAATTAATAAATCTACTCACGAAAGTGAAAAAGAAGAAAATCAAAATGACTCAGTAAACACAA